TCTTTTTTTTGTCCATTTTTTTTGTTTTTTTTTTTTTTTTTTTTTTTTGAGAGGTTTTTGCTATGGAGTGCTTGCACTTGCCAGAAAGACAGAGAGAGAGACAGAGAGATAGAAAGCGAGAAATTACCCCCCAGAGGGGATGGCCACGCCGCAGTCCCTTCTCCTCCATTCTCCTCTCGGGATCTTGGCCATGTACGCACACGTGCCCGGTGTGAGTTTAAGCCACCAGGTCCAGGACTCGAACCACGGTTGACTACGTGGGAGTTCAGCAACATAGCCATTACATCAACTGCCAGTCCCCATTTTTTTAGATTTGAGAAAAAAGGTCAACAGATAAGCAGGATACTTAAAAAGATGGGAGTGGAGCGGTGTCAGGGAGCAGAAGACCTATTCTGTAAGTTCTGTTCACTCCTGGCTGGTAACTATTTCCACCAAGTGCTGACTGAGAAGTGCTGACTCAGAGCGAGATGTGGCCTCTGTCCCGAGATCTGTATTTCCTTGTGGACTCCCATAGCTCAAAAGTCCTTAGAGCCCCTCCGTGGTGGGAATGAGAGGCAGCGACATGCTCTGTTCAGGATGGATCCTGGCCCCATCATGTACGTGATCCAGAGAGCTGCCCACTTTCATGGCTGCGGTGCTGGGCCTGCACAGGGCCCGCAGAGACACGGTCTGTGAACGACACTGAGGCCCTTCAGCTGCCCGGCAGAGGCCTTCTGTAGACTGCCGGGTGCCAGAGAGCCTGGCTCGTCATCCTTTTAGGGCCAGCATGCCGTGCCAATGCCAGTACCCTCGCCAGTTTCAGTTCTTCCTCCTTCCCTCGACGGGAAGCTGGTATTTAATTTTTTATAGACGTGATGAGGAGAAAATGGGTATTGTCATTCACGGGGAGAAATCTGGGGCTGCCAATGAAAAGACCTGTGATCTCATGAACCAAAGGAGAAATAAGTGAATTTCACACCTCAAGGTGGGGAAGGAACATTGGGCTAATTCCAGACCCTCATGCTCTTAGACCCCAAGTTAGTGAACTGCTCATGGTCGCTAGTTTCAGATCGGAAATGTTGGCAAGAGGAACTTAGTTCGCCGTGTCATGCACAGGAATCCAGCTCTGGGAACGGCACACTGTGACAAGTAGAACTAAGGCATTGTGTGTTTCCATCTAAGTTCCCTAAAAAAGAGGAGGTCCTGGTTCACTTAGAGTGCATCTTCTGCCTGTTGGCAACAATAACGCGTGAAGCGCTAGAGCTTTCATTTCATCTCCCAACGGGGGCTTCTATCAGGAATCGACGTTTACTAATAGACTAGACCTGGTAGGGATGGGAAGGAAACACTCTAAATCTTTTGGCGGATTAAATTTTTCATTAGTACACCCAGAGCTAAACTTAGAGATCAAATTACTTTTAGAATGGTCTGGAAAGTTTCCCCTAAAAGCATTCTGTACTGTATGTTTCTCTGCATCTAAAGGTTTCAAAGGAACTTGGTAACACCAGAATTTTCCAGGCAAAATAGAAAAAATAATATTGTTTCCCTTACCAACTTCAAGGCCCTTGGGTCTTGGGTTGCACTGTTTGTAGCCTTGACAGCTTCTGAGCTCCATCAGCTGTAAGTGTAACTGATTCAAAACGCCCCTCTCCACTGTATGCACGGTATTTGTGAGCTGTGGATGAAGAGGGTGGGTTGATATATTTAAGTTCAGGTTCTGGTTCTGCCATTTTCTTTTAGAAGAATATTTTTAAAAATAGTTTTTTCTTGTCACTTTCAAGCTACCGGGTCTAGGACTTGAACCATGGTCAGTTGTGTGGGATCCAACACCTTTAACCACCATGCCACCTGTTGGCTGCTGGCCCCTGGTTCTCTCATTTTCTTTCTTTCTTTCTTTCTTTTTTTTTTTTTCTTTTTGAGAGATTTTTGTTATAGCGTACGCACACTCGCCAGAGACACAAAGAGACAGAAAGCGACAAATCACTCCCAAGGGGGGTGGCCACGTCACAATCCCTTAACTTCCATTCTCCTTGGGAATTTGGGCATGTGCACGCACATGCCCAGAGTAAGTGTAAGACATCGGGTCCAGGACTCGAACTGTGGTCAACTGTGTGGGAGTCCAGTGATATAACCATTACGCCATCTGCTGGTCCTGGTTCTCCCATTTTCAACAGGCTTCATAAAATGAAAGTACAATGTCGTACCTGATAAGGATCTGTGTTCATATCAAAATACTCCAGAAAGCCAGTGGCGAACTCACAGAAAAGAAAATTGTGAGTCTCATTAACTGTTCGCAAGCACCAATAGGTATTGTTGTTGGAGCTCGTGCAAGCACAGAAAGATCCCACTGTGGAGAAAAAGGAAAAACAATAGAATGAAAAAACACAGGCAGATTATTCATTCCCATATTTCAGTATCATTACACTTCAAAGTTCACATTTTCTTTCTTGCAAATAACTACAGTTCGATGTGAAGGGTAACTACAGTGGGGTCATACTTTGGGGCAATGGTAAAACACAATGTTTTAAGGGCCAGTTCCACATGGGAGGGTTCATGGATCAAGTCCTGAGACCTCCCTGAGTCAAGATTTGTGGCTGGCTGAAGGGGTTGAGTGGGACCCTGCTGGGGGCGCGGCTGTCTCTCTCTTTCTTTCTTCTTTATGGAAGAGAGAAAGAAATAGGCCTAAAAAAGATAACTGTACTTTTACCCACTCCATACATATTTGCTATGAAATGAGGTCAAAATGAAAAAAAAAAGAAGGTGATCTCTTGCAGGCCAAGGGTAAGCTGAAGTTTCATTCATATTAGTTTAATCTCCCCTCAGCTCTTTTAGGCAGTGGCCTCCAAAGTGAGGTTGAGTATTGGACTATCAGAAGAAAAATATCAGAACTTTTATTTATGGTCATATCTTTCTATTTTTTTTCTTTTCTTTTCTTTTCTTTTTTTTTTTTCTTTTTGGCCAAAGGATGCATGCATTCACCTGACAGAGAAAGCAAAAGGGAGGGGGAGAAAGCACCCTTCCCAACGGGGAATGGTTATAGTCTTCTCTATTTCTTTTTTTCCCCATTTTTTTTTAAAAAGAATTTAACTTTATTTATTCATTTAATTTGATCAGAGAGGGACAGAGCAAGAGAGAGAGAGAGAGAAAGTGAGAAAGCAAGCTGCCAGTTCTAGGACTTGAACCACAGTCAGCCATGTGGGAGTCCAGTGCCCTTAGCCACCACACCACCTGCTGATCTTCCTGTCTCTATTCTCCAACCTGACAGGACTTGGGGCATTCATGCACACATGCCTGACATGTTTTTGAAGCCATTGAAGCCAGGCTTCAAACTGTGCCATCGGCCATGTGAGATCTGGCTGTTTTAACCACCAGCCATGCAGCTGATCTCACTTTCCATTTTTTTTTTAAAAAGGGAAAATCTTTATTCAGTAAAGATATGAGACTGTCGCCCTCATTTGTTCAGAGTGTCAGATGGCAATGTGTCACACAATGAAAGAAAAGGGGACCAGCAGGTGGTGTGGTGGTTAAGATGCTGAACTCCCATGTGGCTGACCATGGTTCAAGTCCTGGACCTGATGGCTTGCTTTCTCACTTTTTTCCCCTCTCTGTGGTCCAATTAAGAAATAACAGTAATAAATATTTTTTTTTAAAGGAAAGAAGACAGGATCCCGCAATACAGGAGTTCAGAGAAGGCTTCAGCACAGTCTGGTGGATGTGGGGATGATGTAAATTACAGCCATCGCAGACTCTTCAACTCTTTAACATGAGCTGCACTGGGACCCCAAACATGTTTTGTACTACGCCGAGGTTCCTTGGTTAACTTGTCGAAGGTATGTAAAAGAATATTTAACAGACAAAAGAATATAAAGTTCTCTTTAAAAAAAAAAAAGAATAAAAAATGTTCTGTAGAGGCCAAGAGGTAGCATGGTGGTTAAGGAGCTGGATTTTCACATGACTGACTGCAGTTTGAAAATGATGCGAAGTACATGCCCAAATCCCAGGAGGACAATGGAGGAGAGGGGATTGCAGTATGGCCATACCCCCTGGGCAGTGATTTCTCACTTTCTGTTTCTCTGTCTGTCTCTAGTGAGTGCAAGCACCCTATGGCAAAACCTATTAAAACAAACAAACAAACAAACAAAAACCAGGGACCACCAGTTGGCATAATGGCTATGTCACTGGACTCCCATGTAGTCAACTGTGGTTCGAGTCCTGGACCTGGTGGCTTAAACTCACACTGGGAGCGTGTGCGTGCATGCCCAGGATCCCGAGAGGAGAATGGAGGAGATTGTTACATGGCCATCCCCCCTAAGGGGTGATTTCTCCCTTTCTATCACTCTGCCTCTCTCTGTCTTTCTGGAGAGTGAACGTACCCCTAGAGCAAAAACCTTTCCAAAAGAAAAAAAAAAAAGCCACAGGGAGGTTAAGTAATTTGTCTGAGGTCACATAGCTGATCACCGGTAGCACTGGAGCCTGGCTGCAGTGATTATTTTTAATCGCTAACTTCTACTGTACTATACACTATTAGACACACTCACTCCAACCCCTTAAGCTAAAAGGCAATGAGTGACAAATCATTTTCTAAAGAATTATTTTAATAGACTTTAAAGTTTCTTAAATCAACTTTTAAAAAGTTTTTGCCATAGGGCATGTGCATTCACGAGAGAGAGAGAGAGAGGGAGAGAGAGAGAGAGAGAGAGAGAGAGAGAGAGAAACCACACTCCATGCCCCATGGGGGATGGCCATACTACAATCCTTTCTCTATTCTCTTGGGATTTGAGGCATGCATGCAAACATAACCAGCATGATTTTCAAGCCACCAGATCTGGGACTCCAACCGTGCTGTCAGCCATGTGGGATCCAGTGCCCTAATCACAATGCCACTTGCTGACCCCATTTTTTTTTATTTTTTAAAATTTGCCAGAGGGCATGTGTGCTCACCAGAGAGAGACAGAGAGGGAGAGTGAGAAAGCATTCCCCATGGTGTATGGTCATTACCGCAATTCCCTTTTCTCTTTTTCTCCCCTTTGTTGGGATTTTGGGCACATGCGCACATGCTTGGTTGTGTTTTTCACCCTGGGGCCAGGGCCCAAAGGCCATGATAGGCCATGAGGGATCCACGCCTTGACTACCAGTCCATGGAGTGCTCTTAAAAGACTACTTTCAAGAGCAGTTTTAAGAACAGTTTAAGGTTCACAGCAAAACTGAGCAGAGGGTCAATCAGAGACCTGGTGTTTAAGGAGGCTGGGTCCCGCATGGTTGATTGTGTGGTTCCAATCATAGACCTGGTGGCTTGAAAGACATGAGAGGCCCATGTGTGTTCGCAAAGTCCCAAGAGAGAGGAGAAGGGATTGTGGCAAGGTCATTCTTCTGGGGAGTGCTTTTTCGCTTTCTCTCTCTCCCTGGCAAGTATATATACACTACAGCAAAACTTTTTTTAAAAAAATTGAACAGAAAGTACAGAGTGTTTCTAAATATGTCCTATTCTCACAGATGAACGACCTCTCCCACTACCGACATCCCACCCCTCAGTAGTGCACTTGTGACAGTTAATCAACCCACATTCACACATCACCACTCCAAGCCCACAGTCCACATGCAGTGCATCTTGCTGTTGCACATTCTGTAGGTTGTGCAATGTATCATGACACTCATCTGGTACTACAGGATCCTAGAGAGCAGTTTTACTGCCCTGAAAGTTCTCTCTGTTCTACATATGCACCCCACTCTTCCCTGAGAAAAGATTTTCCAAAAGAAGAGAGAACATCTTAAAAATAGATCATTGGGAAGACCAATGCTCTGAGGTTGACCCACATGAGGAGGTCTGCAGTTCTATACAGAGACCTCTCTGAGTATGTGTGTGCCTACGATCCATGGCTGGCTGAAGACGAGGGTAGACGGTGCTGAAACCCTGGGGCTGGGGTGTTGGCTCTTTTTTTCTCTCTCTTGTCCATGGAAGAAATAAATAAATGAGCATTTAAAAAAGGATGATTGAGAATGTTTTCAAGATTACATGATTTTTCACTGAAGGTGCTCTAAATATATTATTCACAATTTGTATTATTTATATGTGAACATTTAGTTCACACCTATACACATCAAAAACCACAGAATCTGAATTTTCTAATCTGTTTAGAAATCTTCCAAACCAGCAATTTAAATAGTTTTGAATTCATTTCATAAGATGTACAAATGCTTTCTGATTGCTTTGCACAGAAATTTGTAAATCTTGGGGAGGATGGAAATTTAAGAGTGTAATTGTAATAGAACTGGCTGTTTAGTTAATGATGGTATTACAAATGAATATTCTGATTTACCCAGCATGCCAATGATAGTGTCTACTGAATCAGCCTGTCATTCTGAACCATCTTTTGAACCAAGGCAGTCATCAAGAGCAGCTATCAAAAATAAACTGAACCTTTGGCTCACTGTTTTGTAAAGTGTGACATTGAAATTTAAAAAAAAACATGTATCTTTTTAAAAAGTTCATTTTATTTCTTGGGAGTAAGAGTAAGGAGGACACCCTTCACAGGGTCCCACCATGTTGTGCTCTCCCCCACCCCCAGTCTCCCAGCCAGCCAGGATCACACAGACACACTCAGCATGTCCGGGCAGACTCGGAATGCAAACCTGGGCCTCCCGTATGGCTCTGGCACTGTGTAGTGACACCCCACAGACTGCACCATTGCAGCCAGGCCACGAAATAAGTGACAGCAAAATGCTTTGGAACCTCCAGAGAATAAAATGAAACCTATTTAAAAGAGCTCTTCTTAGGGACAACCAGTGGCATGGTGACTAAGGCGGTTGGATCCCACGTGGCTGACCAAGTGGTTCCAGTTCCAGATTCAGTGGCTTGAAAGACATTCTTGGTGTGTGTGTGTGCACCCAAAATTCTGAATGGAGAATGGGGAAGGGGTTGTAGCATGGCTATTTCCCCTGCATGGTGATTTCTCACTTTCCCTTTCTCTGTGTCTCTGTCTCTTTACAGTGAATGCACACACTCTACAGCAAAAACTAAAATAAAAAAGATAAAGACTTTATCCTGTCATTTCAAATTTATTTTTTTAAATTATTTTATTTAACTTTATTTATTTATTCACTTTTTAACTTGACCAGAGAGGGACAGAGTGAGACAGAGAGAGAGAGGAGGAAAGTGAGAAAGCAGGCCACCAGATCCAGTACTTGAACCACAGTTGGCCATGTGGGAGTCCAGTGTCCTTAACCACCATGCCACCGGCGAGTCACCCAAATATCTATTTTGTGTATTTTCATAAAACACAGGACATGTTGGTAAAGAAGTACAAATATGTAATTAAGTATAGGTGTGTGTTCATTTTTAATACAGGTAAGGGTAAATAATCAAAAATGTTTAGAGATCACTGCATTAGAAAATCATATGTCTGGGTAGATTTGATTTTCTTTCTTTCTTTTTTTTGAAGAAGTTTTTGCTATAGGGCACATGCGCTAGCCAGAAAGCCAGAGAGAGACAGAGAGACAGAAAGCGAGAAATCACCCCCCCCAGGGGAGATGGCCACACCACAATCCCTTCTCTATTCTCCTCTTGGGATCTTGGGCACGGACGCACATGCGCCCAGCGTGAATTTAAGCCACCGGGTCTGGGACTCGAACCACAGTTGACTACATGGGAGTCCAGCGACATAGCCATTACGCTAACTGCTGGTCCCTTCTTTCTTTCTTTTCTTTTCTTTCTTGGTTAATTGAGTACTACTATGGCTCAAGTTGGCACTTCAGGTAAGACAAATACAGAAACAACATTAAAATATGAACTATAATAACTAAGAAGATTATCACACACAGCATTACTTTTAGAAATTTTAAATTCAGTATATATATCATATATTATTACCTATACACACAAGGACCTCAAAAAGTTTGTGGAAAATAGAATTAATGTATATGTTTATTTTGGTACAAACTTTTTTTCATGAATTGTTTTGTTTTCTTTGAGGTTTTTGCTATAGGGCAGGTGTGCTTGCCAGAAAGACAGAGAGAGACAGAGAGACAAAAAGTGATAAATCACCCCTCAGGGGGGATGGCCACACCGCAATCCCTTCTCCTCCACTCTCCTCTCGGGATCTTGGGTACGCACGTACATGTGCCCAGCGTGAGTTTAAGCCACCGGGTCCGGGCGAACCACGGTTGACTACATGGGAGTCCAGTGACAGCCATTATTTATGCCAACTGCTGGTCCTGAGGTTTTTGTTTTTGTTTTTTTTTTTGATAATCCACACTTTCCATGAACTTTTTGAAGACCACCTTGCACACACGTGTATTTGAGTTCCGAAAGCCACGCTTCTAGACTATCAGTGCAATGAGAATGAAGAATAAGTTGTGTACTACATAAGATCAAATGCGGGCTACTGAATGAACTTAGGTCCTCACTTTGTTGCTGAAAGAGCTGAGTGATGGCGAGAGACCTATTTTGCTCACTTTCAGGTTCTTCGAGACACTAGCACAGTGACACCCAGTGGCAGGCACACCGAAGTTAGTAATATTGACATGAGTTGATTTGATCTTAGACAAAGTGGGTTGCTTGCTTGTCTGTCTGTTTATTCATTCAGGTCATATTGACTAAGCCTTTCCTTTGTGTCAGGGGATCCCGTTACTACACAGATGTTGTCTCTTATCTCGAGAAACACATAGTCCAATGGGGTAACAAAATAAGGCAAAAACAAAAGCATACAAACGTAATCATCAATGCCGTAAGTCCAATGGAGAAAAAGTAGAGCCTGCCAGCAGCCTGTATAAAAATGGCTTAACCTAGTCTGAGGGGGAAGGTGTCTGTGAGAAGTGGCATTGCAATTGAGACCTGAAGGGTGAGTGGGCATTTGAGCCACCAGGTTCTAGGTTGGTGTGGGCAGAAGCCGTGTAGGTAGAGAGAGCTTGGGATGCTGAGCAAGGGAGAGGCTGAGCAGCTAAAGCAGGAAGAGTAGCCACGAGAGGAAATGTCCCCAGAGTAGGACTAGAATGTAACATGCCGGACTTTGTTGAGTAGGTGAAGGATTTTGCTCTTTAGACTAAGAAAATTGACATGTCATTAAAAGATCTGACTCCTCTGAACAGAATGAATTTTCAGCAAGAGTGGAGCTTTGGCAATGGGTGAGGTAAGACAGTGGTGACTTGGGCGGACGGGCTCACTTCAGATGGGGACAAGCAGATAGAGGATGAAGGACATTCTGGAATGAGCAAACATGACTTCATGTTTCTCTGGACTTCATCCTCTTTTTTTCTTTTTTGTAGCTTTATTTCCTGCATGAGTGAGAGAGAGATAGGGAGAGAGACAGCACCCCCATCATGGTCTTCACACTGTGATCCGCCCCAGCCTTCAGCCAACTCCGGGTCACAGGCAAGCATGTGCCTGGTGTACTCAGGGAGGTCTCTGGACTTGAACCAGGAACCTTCTACATGAGATTATCTTGCCAAGCATTGCCTTTATTGCTCATGCCAATTGATAACATATCTTTCAGGGCTTACCAGAACTGGACAACCACACTCATTACTCCCCAGGCCCCTTGCTCATGCTCTTCCGTCTGTCTGGCTACTGCCCTCCTCCATACTGTTCTCTTCTCACCACCCCTCAGGTTTCTGCTTAAACTTCACCTCTTCAAAGGCTCATCACACCCACCCTCTCTAAAAGGGTCCCCTCTACACCTTTAATCACCGTTTCCTTCAGAGCATTACTACGACTTATAATTATTTCCTTCAACTTCTTTTATTACCTCCTTCCATTAGAATGTAAGTGCTAGGAGACTGAAAAATAAGAGGATCTTCTCATTGCTTTGCCCCCAGTTCTCAGCCCAGGGCCTAGCAAGAGCAGACCTCCAGAAATCTAATAGTCCTTAGAGATACCCATGTCCTGGTTTAAGGAGCAATATTAGCAGTTAAATGAGGGCCAGCCCATGGCATGGTGGTTAAGGTGGTTGGGTTCACATGGCTGACTGAGTGTCAAGTCTGGACCCAGCATCCTGAAGGACATGCCAGGCACATGTGTGTGTGTGTGAGCTCAAAATCCTGAGAAGAGAATGGAGACGTTCTCCACGGGAAGTGCTTTGTCACTTTCCCTCTCTGTCTCTTCAGTGAGCACAAGTGCCCTCTGGCAAAAAAGAAAAAAGTGAAATAGTATTGACTTTTGAGGGTCATTTGCAAATAAAGTGCAAACATGGACTTTGTTGCCAATAAGCATCAACATGAAAATATGAAACACAAATTCTTCCAGATAGACCCTAGGTCCCCTCACAACTCTCTGGGTTCCTCAGAGTTTCCTAACCCCAGTTTGAAAAACATTGGCCCTGGTGGTCTCCGGCAGTCCCTCAAATAAAAGACTTGGTGTCTGAGGTAACTTTTGGAGCTGGTCAGCCTTCAATGGGATGATGTGTCGCAGGAACTTAGAATAGTATTTCTACATGGCCTCAGTGAATGTTGCGCACAGAGCATTAAACAAAAAATAAGTACTAATTAAAATAGTTGTTTTTTTTTTTTTTTTTTTTTTTAATTTCCAGAGGGCTTATGTGCTAGCCAGAGAAAGACAGAGATCCAGAGAGAGAGAAAGTCCCCTCTCCCAACGGGACATGGTCACACTGTAATCCCTTCTCCTCCCTTTCTCCATCCAGTTGAGATCTGGGGCACACAAGCACTGCATCTGGTATATTTTTCAAGTTACTGGGCAGGGATTCCAACCATAGTTGGCCACGTGAGACCTGGCTCCCTTACCCACAAAGCTACAGAACCAGCCTAAACATTAATTTTAAAAATGTACAACTTTTACTATTCATATTCTCAGCTATTCAACATAAAACTAAACAATTTTGTAGAGTCCCTCTTCTTCCACAGACATGGTGCTGGTACTTTGTTGGCCCGCACTAAAGGGGCCTTTGCCATCCATTTACTCTTTTTTATCACACGAATAGCATGTCCTTGAAATGAAGCAGAAACTTGGGACCAGCAGATGGCATAATGGCTACATTGCTGACTCCCATGTAGTCAATCATGGTTCGAGTCCCAGACCCAGTGGCTTAAACTCATGCTGGGGATGCGTGTGTGCATGTCCAAGATCCTGAAGGGGAATGGAGGAGAAGGGATTGTGGTGTGGCCATCCCTCCAGGGGGTGACTTCTCACTTTCTATCTCTCTGTCTCTCTCTGTCTTTCTGGTGAGCGCACATGCCCTATAGCAAAAACCTCTACCAAAAAAAAAAAAAAAAAAAAAAAAGAAATGAAGCAGAAACCAAATCCACTGGTGATGAAATTGTTCACCCACTTGTCTACCTACTTAGTTATAGAGCAGTCTTTCTGCCAGGGGCTAGGTACTGTGAGAAACCTCCTCTGGAGGGAAAACCCAGGGAGAAGCTTGGTATTTTCAAAGAAATTACCAAAGACACCTTCTAAAGAAAAGGGCAACTTTTGGCAAAATAAAATAGTTGCCAGTATAGAATATACTATGATACTTTCTACCTGGATCATTTTAGATGCCTGGCTTTCTGCCGCTGAACCCCAGGCTAATCAGCAGGAGTAGGACTGGCCGTCCCTCTGCACGGTGGCAGGAGGGCATACAGAACGCGCACTCACAGTTCCAGAACGGGGCCGTCTGCCAGTGGTTGTTGTCGTGCGTGAAGCAGGTGAGGCCAGGCAGGCTGCACTCTTCCCCCTTCCTCTGGCGCTTCTTCTCCTTCCTCTCCTTCTTCCGCCTGCGGTTCTCCTTGAAAAGTTGCAGTTTGCTGTCTACTTCTTGGGCGGCCTCCCTATTCCAAGGAAGGGATCATTTTTAGTGATCAGAAGGTACTTTCTCAATTAAAAGTAGGATTGCTGCTAGGAATCTTGCACAGATAGTAGCTCTACGGTAACAGAGTCACAGTAATAGATGATTTTGTTTGACTTTTCTGCAGAGGGCCTCGAAACATATTCATGAATAGTGAAGGCTGGCTTGTTGGGTGACAACACTCTGAGAACCTGCTTGAACCTTAAAAAGATCAACATAGTCTTCCTTATTTACATGTAAACATTGATGGAAATAAATGTCACTGTGAATTGGAGAATTTTTTAAAATTTAACTTTTTATTTATTTAGTTTAATTTGACCAGAGAGAGAAGAGTAAGAGAGAGAGAGAAGGAAAGAGAGAAAGGAAGCCGCCAGGTCCAGGACTTGAACCATGGCTGGCCATGTGGGAGTCCAGCGTCCTTAACCACCATGCCACCTGCTGGCCCCTGAATCAGTGGATCTTGACAGCCACGTCCTTTGGACAAACAGCTTACTATTCTAGTAGCTCAGAACCATCAGCCAAAGGTTACTTAGACTAGATGGTTTGGATCAGAAGCTTTCAAAAATTCTTCAACAAATTCTATAATGTAGGTTTGGACAGCTGATATCATCCTTTTTTGTGGGGTGGGGGGGATGGTCTGCCATAGAGTGTGGGTGCTTGCTGGAGACACAGAGAGACAGAGAAGAAAACAGAGAAATCACCCTCCTAAGGGGGGGGGTATGGCTGTGGCACAATCACTTCTCCTCCCTTCTTCCTCTGGGATTTTGGGCATGGATCTACACATTCCTGGTGTGATTTTCAAACCACCAGGTCTGGTACTGGAACCACAGTTGGCCATGTGGGAATCCAGCACCTTAACCACCATTCTACCTGCTGGCTCCTAAAAAGCTTTAATTATCTTAGTTTTTCCATAAAAGGCTTAAACTTTATTGAGATTTATTATGGTATGGATAATGGTTTGTTTCCCAAATGTTCATGTTTTACAATTTGGTCTTAGTGAGTGGTGATTAGATGTCCCCTGGAATTCCTATGTTTGGATTTGATTTTATTGTAAAGGTGTAAAGTGAAAACTTAATCCCTGCATGGTGTCCCAGGGTGGGCTCTTTGGTTGTGAGAAGGTCATTAGGGTGGGGCCCCCATAACTGAGTTCTGGTGGATTTATACGCAGAGGAAATGAGACCAAAAGAAGGAGAAACGTGCAGAGACAGACTGTGCCCTGCTCTGCTCTGCTAAACATTCCTGCCTTCTGCCATTTTGTGATGCCTGTGGACTTTTCAACCCCCAAAATCACAGGTTTTGTAAATAAACCTCTATTTTCTTAATAAATCACCTCATCTCAGATATTTCTGCTAGCAGCAAAACCAGACTAAGACAAGGTTCACAAATTAAATCTCCTTCACACGTAAAATTGGCTATTGTTTAAAAATATGTACATTTCTCTCTACTTGCAGAATTGAACACTTCTAAGTTGATTCATTGTTTTCTCCCATGAGAGACAGAGAGAGATAGCATCTCCAACTGGGTCTTCAGGCTGCTCCCCAGCCCCAGCCTCAGCCAGCCCCAGCCCACGGGCATGAGTGATGAGAACGTGCTGTGGGACCAACAGGTGGCATGGTGGTTCATAAACCTCCCAGCATGTTCAGGGAGGTTTACGGTCACAAACCCAGAACCTTCCCATATAGCTCAGCCCCATGGAGATTGCATGACTTCTGTGCACCATCCAGCCCCCAGAACACCTCAGGTTACAGGCTACTTGCTGAAAAGAACAGACCAACCTACTCCAGAGAGTCCATAACCCTCGCTTGCTCGCTACTGGAAGCAGCGAAATGCAGTTATCGGTCCCTGTGTGAGGTGGAGAGTGCATGCAGAGAGAGAGGAGCCTGGCTTGGCTCCCTCTCTCAAAGATTCCAAAAGCATCATGTAGCCCCTGGGGGAGGAGCGGGCTTTGTTTGCAACATCTTGAGCTATGTGCCCTGCAATGGGGATCTACTGCTTCTTTTTATTTTTTTAAAGAATTATTTATTTAATTTTATTTATTACTATTATTATTTTTGAGAGAGATTTTTTGCTATAGGGTGCATGTGCTTGCCAGAGAGACAGAGAGAGACAAAGAGACAAAAAGTGAGACAAAAATCATCCCCCATTGGGGGGATGGCCATGCCACAATCCCTTCTCCTCCATACTCCTTTTAGGGTTTTGGGCATGCATACACATTCACTTGGTGTGAGTTTCAAGCCTCTATATTTGGGACTCAAACCATGGTCGACTAAGTGGTAGTCCAATGCCTTAACCACTATGCCACCTGCTAGTCCCATATGATTATTATTTTAGGGCACATGTGCTCACCAGAGAGAAAGTGAAAAAGCAAGCTGCCAGGGATAGAACTCAAACCTTGGCTGGCCATGTGGAAGTCAAGTGCCCTAACCACCACACCACCTGCCGGCCCCCTTTACTTCGTCTTAAACCGCACCACTTGGCAAACAGATGCCTCTGCTCTTTCGGAAAATGGCCAGTGGGCAGTCCTCGACTCCCTAATGAACACGGGAAACAGTTACTTACTTGAATGGGTGAAGATGGCTCTTCAATTTCTCTTGTTTTTTTACCCCTTTCTCTTTATTGTAATAGCTGCAGGCAAAAAGATTAAAAAGTGAATCTTCATAACCTAGCATTCGATCAACTGTTTTGTAAAAAGAAATCAAAATAGAAGGCAGGCAAGTTACTTTGTTGGAACTCTCAGTTTCATGGGCCTTTGTACTCTGCTTACGTTTCCAGCACATTTAACCTGACTTATACAGGTTAGGTCACTATACTGTATAACAACACAATCTCATTTTTTTTTTTTTAAGAGATTTTTGCTACAGGGCACATGTGCTGGCTGGATAGACAGAGACAGAGAGACAGAAAATGAGAAATCAAACCCTGGGTGGGGGGGATATGGCCACACCATAGTCCCTCCTCCTTCATTCTCCTCTTGGGATTTTGGACATACATGCACTCATGCCTGGTGTGTTTCAAGCCTCCAGGTCTGGGACTCGAACCACAGTCAACCAGGTGAGAATCCAGTGCCTCAACCACTATGCCACCTGTTGGTCCCACAACATATTCTCACTAAGCTTCCTGTTGGTAAAAGAGAGAAACGAGCCCAGTACTAATCCTTCTAGCTTGTGCAAAAATGAATTTGGGACCCAGCTTGGTGGTACAGCACTAATGTGCTGCTCGAGAAAGGCTGGATTCCACACAGCAATCACAGTTCGAATCCCTTGCCAGGTCAGCTTGTAAGACATCTGGCATGCTTGTGAGTGTCCAGTATCCCGTGGGCTAGAGGATTGGAGTAAGGGGACTGTGGTGTGACCAGACCCTATGGACGGTGCTTCTCTTTCTTGCTCTCTCTCTCTGTCACTCTTATGTAAGTACACAGGTGCTTAATCATGAACAAAGAAAAATACTTACAAAAAAATGAGTTTGGGAGCAGCCTGTGGTGGATAGACACTCACCTCTGTTTACTACAGCCACATTCCTCAGGCTTCCTCTTTTTGAGGTGTCCTCTTACTTCTCTTAAATTCTTAATTTTATCTTGCAGTGCTTCAATCTGGAAAATAGGTATTTAAACAATTACATTTTTTTTTTTTTTGGAGAGATTTTCACTGTAGGGCGCATGCGCTCGCCAGATAGACAGAGAGAGACATAGAGACAGAAAGCGAGAAATCACCCCCCAGGGGGGATGGTCACGCCGCAATCCCTTCTCCTCCATTCTTCTCTCGGGATCTTGGGCACGCACGCACACGCGCCCGGCGTGAGTTTTAAGCCACCGGGCCCGGGACACGAACTGCGGTCGACTATGTGCGAGTCCAGTGACATAGCCATTACGCTAACTGCTGGTTCCCTTAAACAATTACATTTTAAGATCAGGGTATGCTTTAAAAAGCACCTTGTTTTTCACTGTGTTCTCTGTCTCTCAGAAGTACAACCACGCAGTCGACATGGCAGTGAATGTGGAAACAAACCAGGCATAGACTACGCCTGCCTCTGCATTCCAGCCCGTGTGCTACACACAAACGCGAGCAGGTGGCTCTTGAATCCTGGCACCATCTCGCCGCAGAGACTTCAAAAGTCGGGCCCCATCCTCCTCTCATGCTTTACTTTGCGCAGGACTATCATTAAATCACTGGAGGATGATAAATACCTTGGCCATTTTTCTATTTCTCAGGTAATTATAAAGAAGACGACATGCACTGGCAGCTGCAGCAGGACGGGCGGCCGGGTGTGATGCTGGAATGTACCGTACATCACACGGCCATGGCTAACCTCTTTATCGATGTACGCCTTATGGTCCTTCCAGGCTCTGGCTGACTGATACAGTTCTCTCTCACAGTGGATCGTATCGTTTGGAAGAATAAAGCACCTGCAAAAATAAACAAAAATAAATAAATAAATAAATAAATAAGAGGAATAGGTTTATCTTCTAATATTAGAAAATGTTAAAGATAGTAAAGAAAACTTACTGTCCTCTTAATTTTTTTTTTGAGAAGATTTTTGCCATAGGGTGAGTGTGCTCCCCAGAGAGAGAGAGCAAGGGAGGGGCAGTGAGAAATCATCTCCCCATGGGGGATGGCCATGCCGCAATCCCTTCTCCTCTCAGGATTTTGGACATGCACTCACAGGTGCCTGGTGTGTTTTTTAAGCCGCCAGGTCTGGGACTTGAACCAGAGAGTCAGCTATGTGAGATCCAGCTCTTAAACCATCATGTCACCTGCTGGCCCATAAACTCTTTCTTTTAAAGAAATGACTATTTAATTTATTATTATTTTCTTCCAACTTTGGTATAGGGTACACGTGCTTGCCAAAGAGAGACACAGAGAGAAAGGGAAAGCGAAAAAGCAAACTGCCAGGACTGAGATTCAAACCATGGCTGGCCATTTGGGAGTCCAGTGCCTCAACCACAATGCCACCTGCTGGTCCTGGCCCATAAACTCTTTTTATTTTTGGATATGTTTTTGCTATAGGGCGCATGTGCTTGCCGGAAAGACAGAGAGAGACAGTTTTGAGTTCTCAAAACTGCAACTAGGTAGTTTCTTCTATTCATGAGCCATAACTATTGAGAACTGCCTTGAAAGGTGATTTTAGTTTATCTTAGTCAAGTAAATATGCATAGAACACATGGGTTTTCACAAGGGTTTTCATAATGCAAGTGGCTTGCTTGAAGAAGCATGGGGTCACTAGAGAGTACTCTTCCCACTCATTATGTTTAAAGGAGTCTGCATCAAGTACTCCATCAACTGTTTTGGTTTTTTTGAAGAGGTTTTTGCTATAGGGAGTGTGCGCTTGCCAGAGAGACAGAGAGAGACAGAGAAATAGAAAGCAAGAAATCACCACCCAGGGGGGATGGCCACGCCACGATTCCTTCTCCTCCATTCTCCTCTCGGGATCTTGGGCACGCAAGCACATGCGCCTGGCGTGAGTTTAAGCCACTGGGTCCGGGACTTGAACCGTGGATGGCCACACGGGAGTCCAGTGACATAGCCATTACGCTAACTGCTGGTCCCAAGTACTCCATTAACTTTGTAAAAATTTTGCTTGAGGGCACATGCCATCACTAGAGAGAGACAGAAAGGACCCCCTCATGGGGATGGTCACTCTGCAATCCCTTCTCCATCTCTCCCTCCTTTTGGGGATTTTTGGGCATGTGTGTACACATGTGCACAGCAAGTTTTTTAAGCCACCACGTTCAGGACTTGAACTACAATTTCAGCCATATGGGATCCAGCCGCCTTAACCACCATGCCATGGGCTAGCCCCTCCATTAAGATTTGAAAGAAAGCAACAGCCCCATGGTAGAGAGCAGGTGGAGTATGAGGGTCAATCCATACGGAAAGAGGAGCAAATCTCGATCTAAATCTCCTAGTATAGAACTACTTGGTAACAACTATGGGCACCGAGAGGCAGATCTCACAGGAACCCATCTTACCCAGCAATAAAATCTGGGCAAAGACAAAAGATCTTGCTAATAAATTCAGAAAGAGAATGTTTCGCTCCCAAGAGAGTGTACAGATTGCAGAAGGAACTGCAGAGTCAATGAAGCGTAAAGCCATGGCAGAGTCCTCTCTTTCCTCTTTCTCTTTTTTAAGAGAGATTTTTGCCATAGTGCATGTGCGTTCAGAGGAGAGACAGACAGACAGAAAGCAAAAAATCAACCCTCAGAGAGGATGGCCACACCGTAATCCCCTCTCCTTCATTCTCCTCTCAGGATCTTGACATGCATGCACACATGCCTGGTGTGAGTTTTAAGCCACCAGGTCCGGGACTCAAACCGCAGTCAACTACATGGGAGTCTAGAGATGCAACCACTATGCCATCTGCTGGTCCCTCTCTCCCTTCCTTGTCTCCACAACTTCTCAGGCCTTCTCTATTCTGCAGTCTGGGACAAGGCTAAATGTTGCTGCATCTTAGATCCATTCCTAACTTACATCATCTTTCTGGAAGCTTCTCCAGGGCCGCTGTCCTCTCTTGGCTCTATTTCTTTTCTGACGCTGTGACTGCACAGCTGCTTAAGGTGGCAACCATGCAGTGCGGAGGAGCCTCTCCCCATCCCTGTAATTGTTCCCATCTGTTTCCTAGAGCCTGCAGAGGTGATTGTTCAGGGCCACGAACCCATGCCTGCTAAGCCACCATGTGACACAATGGCTCTGCTGGATCCCAGCTGATCAGCCGTAATGTGAAACTGCACCTAAAGTGCATGGTTGAGCCTATTACCGTGGAAATCCTCATGGCTTTCTTAAGCCCCGGTTGTTATGGAGGCCAGGCCAGCACACATTACTGAGTGATGCTACTTTTTACATTGGGCAAAATGGAGAGGGTGACTAGGAACCCAGCCTGGTGAACACTTAGCTTCTTACTTGTGCGTTACGCGGACGGTGGATGGCGGGCCCACGGCATTGCTGCTGTCCGCCAGCAACCCGTCTCCGTTGCCACCGCCGGCAACCTGGCGGCCTCCCAGCCCCCTGGGGCCTTCGTCGTGACGCTTGGCAATATTTCTTGGTTGCAGCACTTGGAATTCTTCTTCTTCCAGATTTATGTCATATATCTCGCCTTCAAATTCTACTGACAAGGACCGTGTCTGCCGGGTGTGAACAAATCTGGGCTTGTACTCTGGAAGCGAGGGAAGACACGTCAATGCAGATGCTCTGGTGTGGGTTTTGGGGGAAGAACACGCTCTCCTGGCATGACGAGGATCTCGGAGGGGGCACAGTACATGCCACGATGCTTGGGGGGCAATGTGGGGCTCTGAAGGGCACGTGGGAATTCATGGCGGAGAGGTGGGCTCCTGTTTGGGCAGGGCCACTGCAGAGCAGGGTGACGAGTGACACGTTCCTCTGTGCCTCGAGCCTGTTAGCCCTCAAAAGTGGAGGTAGGCCTGGGTGTCCTCTAATTTTCTGCCTCTGACAGGCTATGCCCTTCCACATTTAGTTTTCAATGTGAAATGCTAAGGCAACTTGTGGATAAAATTATATTCCCGATTATATTATTAAGAATAATGACATCCTTGCTGAGATTTCACAATGTATCCTTTACCTTAGATTTATCTCTAACTCACAACTTTGAAGACAGGTACTATAATAAACCCTTAGCTAAAAGAATGTAGGTTGTCAAAGCAGGCGCACGAATTGGGTGCTGTCGTCCTTACTTCATGGATGAGAAAACGGAAGCTCTGAAAGTTACAGGCATTTTGCAGTTACAGGAGCTAGAACTACCATCTCCCAGACTACCAAGTCTTGGTACAACATTAGGAGGCATTTTAAAAGAGGTGTATGCTCTAGACACCTTCTGTTGGCACAAATAATAAAGGAGCAGACCCAGTCCGTGCGCCCCTGTGGAACATTGTCAGCTGTTTGCGGGGTGCTACCTGTGAATTGCAACGTGCAAACATTGGCCCTGTTTGTTCATCACCTGCCCTTAGGCCTCTGAGGGCTTCTCCTCTGGCCTTGTGCTAAATAGGGTAAGAGGGTGGGGCACGCAGGCCGGGCATCCCAATTATCCCGCCTCTGAGAGCCCTAAGGGATTTCTGATGCGGGAGTGGCCTCTGTGGCAGTCGGTGGGCTACTCGTGCGTGGTATTTGTTGTGGGGAAGGGACAAGCCAAGTCCTGATCTCAAATACCAACCCCTACATAGTTTGAAAAAGCTGCCTTAGACTTCAGGTATTCCCGCCCAACCTTAAAAAATTCAGGCAAGTAGAGGTGCCGCATGCTCTGCCGGACTGCGAGCGGTCCCGGGGTCCTTCCCACTGTGAATGCGGAGCCTACCTGCTTTGTGATCAGGGCTTGGTCACTGACCTCTAGCTTTCTGGAAAGGACACTAAATTCAACATTAGTAATCCACTTTTAATAAAGGAGCATGTTAGGGGTCCTTGTCCCTTGTCAATTTTCAACCTGCAATCCTGTGTGAATAACTAAACCTGGCCTGTTCTCTCAATGAAGAAAGAAACTCTCTCAAATCATTGGCTCTTAGCCTTTTGGGTTATGGACTCCTTTAAGAATTCGTTGACAGTAAGTGACATTGAGAAAAATATGCCTATATGCATAAAGTACACTGACCCTTTTGGATGAACTATCAGGGGCTCATGATTGTAAAGCTTACCTTGCGGAGTCTGGGGGGGAATTCATTTTTTAAGGACGTCCATTGTTTTAGCAAATGATTTGATTTCCAAATCTTTGAAGAAGGAATTGAACTTAATGCATAGATGCTGCTTCCATACTTCAAAAGGATGGAATCACCGTAGAATGGGGTTACTTTTCATATTATTCCACTAGATGGCACTAGAATCTCATGCTTTCATGGAGAGTGTCAGCCTGTCACTTTTCCTATTTATATAATCATAGGTACCCCATAGTGGCCTGATGGGGTATTTGTGACAAAAATGCCAAACAGTGCTTTTCACACTGAATTCGACTAATTTGATCCTGCAAGTCAACAAGATCCAATCATTTGACAGAACTTTAAGCTAGATTAAAATATGTGTCTTAAGGAAAGTGTTTGTTTTTTCTATTAAGTGAAATGCCTATGCACCAAAACTTAATGTCTATTTACTAATTTTGTAATAACTTGTGGGGGACAAATGACATCTGCATTAAGGTAAAATAAAACTGGCCCACATCATACCTCTTACCCTTTGGAATAACCGTTTTCTAGGCTCTTTGATGTGCGCATATGTTTTGCATCTGTGCTTTGCCACAGAATGGAAATATCATTTGCATAAGTGAAAATGTTTACAAAGCAAAATTTCAAATTAATCTTCACTTTCTTGGTTGAAACAGAACAACGATTTGCTCTTAGCCTGAAAACTGTGTCGCTAATAGCTGCTATGTAGAGCAATTCCTCACATCTCTAACCTCCCGAAAGCCAAAGGCCATACGTAGCCTGCCACCAGCAGGGTCATAAAAGCATGCCTTACTTGGAGTCCCCTGGTTTCTCAGAAACTGCCTCTGACTCTTCCTCTGACTTCGGCTGGCGCGATATCCAGACTCCCGACACTCGCACTCTTTGTCCTTGTCGTGGAAGCCGCGGGAGTAGAGGTGCCGCGTGCTCTGCCGGACTGCGAGCAGGTCCCCAGGTCCTTTACACTTGTGGATGCGGAGCTTGCCTGAGGTATCCTCAATGCACTGCCACTTCTGCAAGAGCCACAGTGAAAGCAGGTTACCGATCCTGACCCAGCTGGTATTTACGAAGGACTGCTGCCTTTGTGTGCATGTGCGTTTTTTGGAAGCAGTAGCAATACTTCAGTGAAAGAGAATGCATGAAAAAAGACAAGTTTCTAAGTGACCCTGCAAAGGCTCGACTCCTTGTTCTCTTGGTTACTGCTTTCCCAGCAGGCGAATACAGATGGCAAGGAGAGCGATGGAAATCAGAACTACCTTGATGACACAAGAGCCACAAGCGGATACGTGAACCCCCCGCGTTCAGACTAAACAGTCTTGGATGAAACATGGTAAAGCCCTCGGTTCACCAAGACACAGAGCACAGCTGTCAGAGCTGTTTGCACCAGACTCCTCTTGTTCTGGAAAAACAAACTTGGCCGCTTTGTTCTCTGCCCCTGAATTTCTAATGTGAGCCAGGGCAGAGTGGCACATGAGGAGGACAGAGATGAGTTTAATCTGGGTCTACCGCAGCGCCAGCCAACCCTCATACACCCTAGACATCAGCAAAGTTGTCAGGTCTTTCTGCATGTCTTTTCTGAGCCTCTACAAACACTGCAGGCCCAGCAGAGTCTGGGTATGTTCTTAGGAGAGACAGTTCAGCTTCCCAACAGACACATATGGGGAGTTTGCCCTGGGTTTTCTGATCCGAACATTCCATCAAGCCCAGGCAGGTGCTGCAGGTTCACTTTCTAATAAGCACGGCACTGCACTGGACTTTGGTTATCCTGATGCCTTTTTTTTTTAATAGAGATTTTTACTATAGGCCATGTGTGGTTGCTGGAGACACAGAGAAAGACAGAGAGAGAAAGTGAGAAATCCCCCAAAGGCTGGCCATGCCACAATCCCTTCTCCTCCATTCTCCTCTTGGGATTTTGGGCACGTACACACATGTACCTGGCATGAGTTTCAAGCCATTGGGTCCAGGACTCGAACCACTATCGGCCAAGTGGAAGTACAGCACCTAAACCTCTATGCCACCTGCTGGTCCCGCCTGATGCTTCTTGAGTATCAATTTGGCTGAAATGACTGGGGGGGGGGTGTCATTTCCTGGGTTCCTTCACATCCTTCTTAAAGACCTGATAATATCTTTTTCTTTTCTTTTTTTTTTTTTTTCCTGTCTCCTTCCTTTTAATTTGGGAGACAGAAAGAATAATGGCCTTAATTTGAAGTGACCACGGTTGTTACAACAGGCCAGGATGTATGTTATCAGACTTCCCACTTCCCTGACATGCACGGGTCTTTGTGAGGAGCGTATACATTTGTGTGTGTGGTGTGTGCTAAGGAAGCTGTGTGTGGACAGGCGCTGGTGGAATTGGATCAGCAATCACTCTCGTTGAACCTATAAATCTACCTGCGCATCTACACTGGCAGGACTCTGTGCTCTATTACCAGTAACCAGTTTCTCCACTCTCTCTCCAGTTAGTTCACAAGTGACAGAACTTGGACTTAGCTGAGAATGTACCTGGCCTGTTCCACGGCACCGCCCCTCAGTGTGGTTTCTGGGTTTGTGACACTCATACAAGTGTCCAGGTAGCTTGAGGAGATGTCATGAAATTCTCAAAACAGTTCGCAGAAACTCATAATGCCATTAAGAAATAACTATACGCCAGGCCAGCTGGTAGTGTGTGGTGAAGGCAGCTGGATTCCACGTGGCGAACTGTGTAGTTTGAATCTCAGAGCCAGTGACTAAAAGAACACACCTGGCATAGGTGCCTGCCCCAAATCCAGAAAGGAAGGAGAAACAGAGGAGAAAAGATTGCAGCATGACCATTCCCCATGGGTGTGTGTTCTCATTTTCCCTCTCCCTCGCTCTGCTTCTCTCCTCTAGTGAGCACTTATGCCCTCTAGCAAATTAAAAATAAGTAAATAAATAAGAAATGCTATGTGATATATAGAATTCTTGAGGTTAAAAATGTCACCACAGGGACCAGCAGTTGGTATAATGGCTAAGTCGCTGGACTCCCACGTAATTGACCGCAGTTTGAGTCCCTGACCCAGTGGCTTAAACTCACGCCAGGCACGTGTGCGTGCGTGTCCAAGATTCTGAGAGAAGAATGGAGGAGAAGGGATTGCGGTGTGGCCATCCCCCTGGGGGGTGATTTCTCGCTTTCTGTCTCTGTCTCTCCCTGTCTTTCTGGCGAGCACCCTATAGCAAAAAACCCTCTCAAAAAAAAAAAAATGTCACCACAATAAATAGTTTTTCATAGTTCTGAAACCTTTGAGAACTAGTGGGGTAAGTTTGTATGTGCACATCGATATCTATCTTAAATGCTGAAGGTTTAAGATACAGCCATTTACCTGGGCAATCTCTACCTCTAGCATTTAAATGGTAACAACTGACTATTTAATGCCTATATGAGCAAAAATATCATCAGAATTATCAATCAGTGGATTCAAAATCCACAGCCAAATGGAAGTTTTTTCTCTTTTTTTAAGTTTAAATTGCCAGATGGCATATGCATTCATGAGAGAGAGAGGGAGAGTAAGAGAGAATACACCCCTGTGGGGTGTGGTTATGCCACAATCCCTTTTTCTCCATTTTTGCATCTTGTGAGATTTGGGACAAGTGAATGCTTGCACAGACACATGCACACACACACACACACACACACACACACACTAACACACTCCTAGAGTGTTTTTCAAGCCACCAGGGCTGGGAAGGAAACCACAGTCAGTCATGTAGAATGTGGTTCCCTTATCTCCCTGGCCACAGGGCTGGTCCACCAGGCAGAGGGTTAAGTAGTGCTCTCTTATCTTCTACCAGATAGGAAAATGTGGTTAATTTTACTCTTGAATAATAGCGGCCTTGTGTCTTTTTGTGGTTCCAATTTATATAAAATTTAGCATAAATACTATTTTTTATTATTATTAATTTTAATTTGACCAAAGAGGGACAGAATGAGAGAAAGTGAGAGAGAGGGAAAGTGAGAAAGCAAGCTGCCAGGTCTGGGACTCGAACCATGGTCAGCCATGTGGGAGTCCAGCACCTTTAACCACCATGCCATCTGCCAGTCCCTACATATTATTTTTTTTTCCAGCTATAGGTGCATGTGCTCACCAGAGAGAGACAAAGAGAAAAGGAAAATGAGAAATTACCCCCTGGAGGGAAGGTCATGCCAGAATCCCTTCTCCATTCTCCTCATGATTTTGAGCACATATGTACATGTGCCCAGTGTGTTTTTCAATGATCAGGTCTAGGACTCGAACCATGCAGTTGTCATGTGAGATCCATCTCCTTAACCACCATGGCACCTGCTGGCCTAAATACTAATTCTGAAGTACATAAGTATAACAAAAACCTTCTATAGTTTCATAACCACCATGAATTTTAAAAGTCCGCCTGTTTTTTAAGTTTGTTTCTTAGTTTTTTGGGAGATTTCTTTTTGCTGAGAGACGTAAGGGTACATGTAGATTCCTATAGAACAAAAATGTGTAGGAAGACTCTTTAGTGACTCAGCCTATTTAGATTCCAACCTGAACTTTCTCATTAGCCAAATTCCCTGTTGATTTCCTGTGGGATGAAGATAAAGAGAAAGGGTGTTTCCTGCTGGAAGAGTTTAATTTAAGCACACTGGAAGCCTGGTACTATCCTTGACATTGATGGCATATTATATAAAATCAAATATACATACATATATGCATGCAAATGTATACATAAGCACACACACACACATATACCTATATACACTACATTTTCACATGTATCTATACACGTGCTTGGATAAAGCAAGACCCACTAAGACATCAATGATCTTTTCTACCATGGACCCTATGAAAAAGTCATAGACCCTATTAGATAAAGTAATTAGCTAGAGGCCTTGAACATCTTAATGGCAAGCATACTAGGAATCTTAATGAAATGTAATTACCACATATTGCCACAGCCATGTTCGTGCTTGCTATCATGACAATTTTTATGACTTCGCAATAAAACTTTGTGATAGCTGCAACTAAAATGGTGACTTTACTTAGTTTATAGAGGGAGGCAAAAAAGAATGTTTAAAGACTTTGCTCTGAAACTCATGCTGCAAGCCATTTAATTGGTCAAAATAATGAAAAGTGATGATTTTGTATTGCAGTAGAGTGCCGGGGATCAGATGAAAGCCTGAGCTCAGGTGACGCACCTGCTAATGGGATATGGAGTCAGAGTCAGAAATAAGCATTGTTCAACAGGTAGCCCTGCAGAAATAGAGCGGCCACACTGCCTCACTGTTACGTGCACTCTCGAAGTTTATCAGTAAATCAGTTCATTGCCATGCCTGATGGTCTCCATCTTCACTGGCCACTCATTCTTGCAAACTCCTTTTCTGTGCTCTGGGATTTCATCATTTCAGTTCTGCTCCTGCCTCTCTGCTTTATCCACTGGTACCGGTAACAGCACACATGCATTCCACAATATAACTGTGCCCCTGCGCTGGGCAAGATACTAGGAAAACCTATTTAAATCATTCCTTAAGTCGTTGTTATTTCATTTTAGCCTTTTCAACGACACTGGAAGCTGGAATTAAGGTCAAAGACTAACTCTCTCATTCCCGAATATTTCTGGAAGTTCGCTTAGCCCAGAATCACTCTGTTGGTAATTAAGTGTTAATAGTTTTGGTTAATTACATCTGGTTGTATGTAAATAACACTAATGAAGAGAAGGCTGGCCATTTTGGTATGTGTGTGCAGTTAGTTTGGTAGAATCAAACCTGATAAATACATCAAGTGCCTTTCAAACAATTTCATTCATCATCTTTACTGCTATCATGGCATCATCTATTGAACTCTTCCTTGAGGCCAGCTACTGGTCTAGAGCACATGGTATGAATTTATTCATGTAATCCTCACAACAACCTTAAATACTGCCACAACTATTATTTATTTATGTTGGGGTAGGAACTTTGTAGCTGAGAACATTACCAACATTCTGTCTTGGACTTGGGAATGGAATTTTATCCCTATATTGAGATGGCTTAAAGCAAAGTCTG